AGAATCGGTACGATCAAATGTTTTTCATCGTTCCCTGTGTGTGTGTTCTTCGCTCGGCTGTCTCGAGAGACGATAACGACTGTTACGACACAACGTTTTTCTCTCTTTTTGCGCGAATTCTGATTGGCGATGAGTTCATGGACGGTCCAGTATCCGACACCGGGAAACGTAGGTATATCGTTATTATACGCAGAAACGAAAAAGAGACTTTACCATTTCTTCCCTATGTATGTATCTCTAAATTCTTACGGAAGAGAACGATGATAATGATGATAACTTGGCAGCCTCTACTAGTATTTTATATATAGATATATATATATACGAGTATAGTAGTGTTCTTACTCTATAGTAGCAAGAATGCCATTGCAAGGAAGGCAGGAGACAAAGAAAAGCAAATCCACGAGTGCCATGATACGCGTAGAAATTCCCCCCATATCTCTGCTCTATCGTTGCAATTTGCGTAATTAACGTATCAATTACGCCCACAAGATCGCTGTACAGCGCGAAAAACAAACTTGGCGAGCGCGCAGTCGCAGCGTTCTGTTATATATATACGTTTTCACTTTAGTCGTATTTGCTTGCCGACTGCAGCAACACAAAAAGGTGGTAAAAAATGACATTTCCAAAATGGTCTCTCACAGAGAAAAAACAAAACGAGATATGCGAAAGAGACGGAAAAAAGGAAAGAAAAAAAAATATATATATAAATATATATAAAAAATTGATAGATAGATAGATAGTAGACAGACAGACAGACAGAGACAGACAGACAGACAGACAGACAGACAGACAGAGAGAGAGAGAGAGAGAGAGAGAGAGAGAAAGAGAAAGAGAGAGAGAGAGAGAGAAAACGATTAAATGTACAGGAAGAAGAGAAAATTCATGGCACAACTCGAGACGAGCTAAGGGATACTCACTTTTTTCAGCTGCGCCCCAAAAGTCGCCAAAAAAGTGGGAAAAAAAAAAAAACTCGTAAAAATTCGTGTCAATTTTCTCACGTATATTGAGTAGAGTTATTAAATATTCAATATATATTTAGGCATATCAGTGGGTAGCATACTACTGATTATTATCAACGTCAACATGGCCTCTTTTACAGCTATTCTTTTTTGCTCTGATTAAGAGAGAGAGAGAGAGAGAGAGAGAGAGAGAGAGAGAGAGAGTCTGTTTCTCTGGTGAAACACGCACACGCGCACTCGCTCGTTCGTTCGTTCCCTCCCTCCCACGCGCTCGATTCCAATCGCACCCTCTGCTCTATTCGTAATATTTTTGATCGGTATGCGCCGAGAAACGTCGGTGGA